ATCCTCTACATTTTTTGTGGGCCACCCTAAATCCTTTTTAATATCACATCATACTCAGCTCTACCCCAATATCTCTTTTGCACAACCCAATTACTAATAACAATCTTAGACATACGATTTACATTTTGTTGTATAAAAAGTAAACAATCTGTTCTCACTGACTTCCTTGTATTAGTCTTTGATGTGTACCTTATATTTCTCTTGGATCTTGTATGTCAAATTTGCTATTGACTTCAAGTCTTTTTCCAACAAAATCCTGAAAGTCTGGCAATTCATTGAATGTCCTTTTTTTTCATTCAGGATTATGGTTAATTTTGCTGGGTATAATATTTTTGGCTGCAACCCCAGTTCTTTTGCTCTTCCGCATATAGTGTTCCAAGATCTGCAGTCTTTTAGTATCACTGCTGCTAGGTTTTGTATGATTCTAATGGTGGCTCTGCTGTATTTGAATTTTTTTTGTTGTTCCTCATAATATTCTCTCCTTAAGCTGGTGGGTTTCAGAATCTAGCTATGATATTCCTGTAGATTTTTCTCATAGGCTGTCTTTCAGGTGGTGATCAGTGGATTTTTTTATTGCTACTTTCCCCTTCTATTCAAATGTTTCAGGACAATTTTCTTTAATTATTTCTTATATTATTGTATCAAGATTCTTTTTTTGATCACAACTTTCAGGTAGTCAAATTATTCTTATGCTTCCTCTTGATCTGTTCTCCAGATCAGTTGTTTTTCCTATGAGATGTTTCACTTTCTCTTTTATTTTTTCATTCTTTATATTTTGTTTTGTTATTTCTGGATCTCATAATTTTGCTGGCTTCCCCTTGCCCAATTCTAATTTTCAAGGGTAATTTTCTTCCTTAAACTTTTGGATCTCCTTTTCTAGTTGGTTGACTTTGTTTTCATAATCTTATTTTTTCTTGGATTATTCTTATTTTTACATTTTTTCCTCAATCTCTCTCATTTGATTTTTAAAGTCTTTTTTAAGTTCTTCTATGAATTATTTTTGGGGAGGTGACCATTTGACATTACTCACTGGAGTAGGAGAGGCTTTTTTTATTTCTGAGCCTTCCTCTGAAGACAAACCCCAGTGTTCTCTATTCCCATCATAACTTTCTATGGTTAGGTTCTTTCTTCTTTGCCTGATCTTTTATATACATATATATATATATATATTTATGTATATAGATATATATACATATATATGTATGTATGTACGTGTGCATGTATGTATGTATGTGTGTATGTATGTATGTATGTATATACCAGCTTGTTATTGTAATCACCTCTAGTCCTGGGATGGTATCTCTGGACTCAGATCCTCCTTCAGTTATCCCCTCTAGCCTGGAACCAAAACCAAGAATTCCACCCTCCCATAAGTGCCCACAGTCAGCAGCATCCCTGCCTCACTACTTCTGCACTCACAGGGCATGTGCTGGTTCCTTCTAGCTCAGGGCTACATCTCCACAGGACATGGAGTCCCTTATCAGCAGAGGTTCCCTCAATATTCCCCTGCTCAGATGCCTGACTCCCCACACTGTCCAGGAGGTGAAAATTCCTGTGTCTGAAGCCAGAGTTACCTCCCAACACAGCTAGACCCAGGGCTCACCACTTGCTGTTACAGCAGTACTGGCCTGGAGGTGTTTACATTTCATAGTGACCAAACCTTGGATCTTCACCCTGTTGTCCCAAGAGGTCCACTACTCTGACTCAACTGTTGTTATTTTTACCACCTTATATATGTCCTGAGGCACTACTTTTTTTCTTTGTGGGGGAAATCTGGAGAGTTTGGTATTTTCTGACCTACTCTGACATCTTCCCAGAATCCTCTTTATGGAACTTTTTATCAAAATGTTATTTCCCTGATTATCTATTTTAAATAGGTCTATTTTTCTTTTTGGAAAAGACTAATAAAATTGATAAGCCCTTTGCTAATCTGATTAAACAAAAGAAAGCAGAAAATCAAGTCAATAAATTATCAAATGAGCAAGGTGAAATCATAGCAAAACCAATAGAAATAAAAAGAAAAATTAGAACATATGCTCAGTTATATGCTAACCAAACTGAGAACACAAAAGGAATAGAGGCATGCTTTCAAAAATATAAAATACCCAAACCATCAGAAAACAAGATAGAGGGCTTGGGGCAGCTAGGTGGTGCAGTGGATAGAGCATCAGCCCTGGATTCAGAAGGACCTGAGCTCAAATGTGACTTCAAACACATAGCACTTACTAGCTGTGTGACCCTGGGCAAGTCACTTAACCCCATTGCCTAGCTAAAAAAAAAAAAAAGATAGAGGGCTTAAGTAACTCAGTCTTAGAAAAGGAAATAAATCTATCTGTAGAGGAACTACCAAAGGAGAAAACTTCTGAACCCTATGGTTTCACAGGAGAATTTTATCATACTTTTAAGGAACAGTAACCAAAGTACACAAATGATTCCAAAAATTGAGAAAGAAAGCACTCTAACAGAATCCTTTTATGGGAGAAATATAGTCCTAATACCTAAACCAATGAAAGATAAAACATAGAAAGCACACCGTAAGTCAACATCATTAATAAACAATGATTCAAAAATTTTAAACAAAATCCTCTCAGACTATAGTGATTTCTCCAATAAATCATTACTTATGATCAAGTGGGATTTACACCAAGGATGCAAGGACGGTTCAACATTAGGAAAATAATCAACACAGTCATATTAAAACCAAAACATCCACAATACATTATTATTTAAACAGATATAGAAAAGGTCTTTGACAAAGTACAACACTCTTTTATGCTAAAAAAAAAAAAGCCCTCCAAAGTATAGGCATAGAGTGACCTTTTGTTGAATTTGTAAAAAGCATCTATCTAAAATGAAAAGCGAGTATTTTATGCAATGGGGATACACTAGAACCTTTTCCAATAAATATGGGAGTTAAACAAGTATACTCAGTCTCCCCACTATTTTTCAATATAGTTCAGGAATGCTAGCAATAAGATAAGAGAAAGTAATTAAAGGAATAAAGATAAAGAGGAGATAAAACTATTTGCTGATGATATAATGGTTTACTTGGCAAATCCCAAAGAATCAGCAAAGATACTAATTGAGACAATAGCTTCAGCAAAGCTTCAGGCTACAAAATAAATCTTCAAACATCAACAGCATTTCTTCTATATAATAATAAAAAACAAGAAGCAATAGTAGAAAGGGAAATACCATTCCTAATAATTACAAATTATCTGTGGCTAAACCTCTCAAAGTACACAAAAAGACTTATATAGATCATAAAACTCTCACTATAGAGATTAAGAACAACCTAAATAGCTGGAGGAATATTCAATGTTCATGGCTAGGCTGTGCCGATATAATAAAAACAATACTAGTAAAATTAACTTAATCTTTTAATGCTATGCTAATCAAATTACCAAAGGGATACTTTACAGAGCTGGACAAAATAATAACAAAATTCATTTGGAAAAGCAAAAGATCCAAAATATCAAGAGAAATGATGATGTAAAGACAAAGGTATGATACCACTTACACACTTAAAACTATATTATAAACCAGCAGTCATCAAAATCATCTCTATGGTTAAAGAATAGAGAGGTAGATCAATGGAACTAACTAGACAAGGGAGACTCAGAAATGATAGAATTCAATAACCCAGTGTTTGAAAAAGTGGAAAACATATGTTATGTAGGGGAAAACTCCTTATTTGATAAAAAACTGCTGAGAAAACTGGAAAGCAGTATGGCAGAAATTAGGCTTAGACCAAAATCTTATACCACACTCCACAGTGCATTCTAAGTAGATATGTGATCTTATTATTAAAGAGCATACTATTAAAAGTTAGAAGAGAAATGCATCACATACTTCTGTTACTACGGGTAGTAGATGTATTCTTAACTAAACAAGAGTAAAAGATAAAATAGATAACTTTGATAACTTAAAACTGAAATTTTCTTCAAAAACAACATTAATGTATCCAGAAAAGGAAAGGAAATAGTCAAATGGGGGAGGGGGGGAATCCTTGTGTCAAATTTCTCTAATAAGGGTTTGGTATTATGCAAATACATATCTAATATATTTATGACTAATAGCCATTCCCCCAATGAATAAATGTTCAAAAGATATTAATAGTTCTCAAAAGAACTTTAAAGCACTCACAACCACATGAAAGAATGTTCAAAATCACTAATAATAAGAGAATGCAAATCAAAATAATACCGAGGATTCACCTCATAACCTTAAAAGTAGCAAAAAAAAAAAGACAAAAATGGCAACAGTTAATTTTGGAGAGTTTATAGGAAGATAAGCACTCTGCTTCATTTTTTGTGGAGCTATGAAATGGTATGTCTATTTTGGAAAGCAATTGGGAATTATGCAAATAAAGTAACTAAAATGTCCATACTCTTTGAATCAGAGACTCCATTACCAGGTTTATATGCCAAGAAAGCCATCGATAAGAAAAACAGTTCCCTCATACACCAAAATATTTATAGTAACCCTTTTTGTAATAGCTAAGAATTGGGAACAAAATATATGTTCATTAACTGGGGAATGGCTAAACTAATTGTGGTACATGAATGTAAAAAATGATGTGTGTGATGAATACAGAGAAACATGGGAAGATCTATATAACTGATGAAGACTGAAATAAACAGGGCCGAGAAAACAATATACACTGTAACTGCAACAATGTAAGTGGAAAGAATAACCACAAATCAAAAATTCAAAAGTAAACGAAGCAAAATTATAATGATAAAGTGGGACTCAAATGAAGAGACATGAAAAGACATCCCTTTGTGGATTTGGGAGGTCCACAGGTGCTACACATTGTACATGTTCTTGAACTTATTCAATGAATCAATAAGCTGTGCTGACTTTTTTTCCTCTAAAAAAATTCTATTTGTAATATGGGATGGCTCTCAGGAAGGGGAAGAAGAAGGGATACATGGGATACTATGGTGATGTAAGAAACAGAAAATATCAATAAGATGTTTTTAAAATTGATAACTTGCCTCTGGGATCCAGGCTGAAGAAGTGTCAGTGGAATAAGGTTCTTCAAAGCCTGGGTTGCTAAAGGATGCCTCTATCTCCAGGCTTCTTCCTGTGGCTTGCACACCAAGGCTATGAGTCAAGATGGCTTCATGTCTACTGGCTCTTTGCTTTCCAACATCTCTACTCTTAGATGCAATCCTTGAATCCACAGAAATATGATCATCTTCACCATAAGAGATATTATCTAGGTAGCTTGGTTGACTTAATCCATCCAAGTCTAAATCTGAAATAGGAAGATAATTTCAAAAGCATTAAAATTTGTTTTTTTCTTTTGATACATTGTTTACCCAGTAGATATTAGCAAAGATGTTGACAAATACCATATATCTCTTTAGCCCAGATCCTGCCAATTCCACCTATACGAACCAAACGTGATAATGGGAAAATTAGTGATTTGACAACATTAAAAATAATCTAGGTTTAAGGAGAAAATTTAACTGTATAATGGGAATTGTTAATCAGAAATTTAAAATAAGATTCTCTCAGTGTAGTAGAGAAGTCTTAGTTCCATCACAAAGATCCCTATCATAGCATGTGTCCCACAGAGGCATAATTTTATCAATAGAATACGTGTTTATTTTAAACTATTAGGTATGCAGAAAAACTATTCTTTGAGTGAATCCAGAGACTATCAACTATCCCTCTTTTTGTGTACTCAAAGTTACCCATAAGAAGATATATAGAAAGCTACAAAGGTTGTCATCATCCTCCCAGTCACCAGACCTGTAACCTAGGGATCATCTTGATTCCTCACTCTCTTTCACTTACCAAATTCAATTAGTTGCTAAGTCCTGTCATTTCTACCTTCATAATTTCTCTAGTTTATGTCCCTTCTCTTTTCTAACACAGCAACCACTCTGGTACAAACCCGTATCACTTCATGCCTGAATTGTTACTAAAGCCTGCTGGTTGATCTCCCTATTCACCTTTAATAAAGGTCTCATTTACAAAGTATATAGAGAACTGAGTCAAATTTGAAAGAATACAAGTCATTCTCCTATTGATAAATGGTCAGAAGATATGAACAGGCAGCTTTCAGAAGAAGAAATCAAAGCTGTCTATAGTAATTGAAAAACATTCTAAATCACTGTTGATTAGAGAAATGTAAATTAAAACAACTCTGAAGTACCATCTCATACCTATCAGATTTGCTAACATGACAGAAAAGGAATATAACAAATGTTGGAAATGATATGGGAAAATAGGTACCCTAATGCACTGTTGATAGAATTGTGGACTAGTTCAAACATTCTGGAGAATAATTTGGAATTATTCCCAAAGCACTGTATAAGACTGTGCATATCTTTTTATCCAGCAATACCACTACTATTTCTGCATCTCAAAGAGATCAAAGAAAAAGGAAAAGGACCTCTACATGCAAAAATATTTATAGCAGCTTTTGTGTAGGGGCAAGGAATTGGAAATTGAGAGGATATCCATCAATCAAGAAATGTCTGAACAAGTTGAGATGGAATACTATTGTGCTATGATAAATGATGAGGAGAATCATTTTAGAAAAACCTGGGAAGAATTACAGGAACTGATTCAAAGCGAGATTAGCAGAACCAAGAGAACAATGTACACAGTAACAGCAATATTGTATGATGATCAACTGTGAATGACAGCTATTTTCAGCAATACAATAATTCAAGACAATTCCAAAGGATTTATGATGAAAAATGCTACCCATCTCCAGTGAAAGAATGGATGGTATCTGAATGCAGATTGAAGTGAAGCGTACTTTTAATTTTTTTCTTTATTTTTCTGGAGGGGGAGCTGTCTGTGTTTTCTTTTGCAACATGGCTAACACGGAAATGTTTTGCATGACTGCACATGTATAATCTATATCAAATTGACTATCTTCTCAAGGAGGGGAGAAGGGGAGGGAGGGAGAGCATTTGGAATTCAAAATTTTAAGAAAACAAATGTTAAAAAATATTTTACATGCAATTCAGAAAAAATAACATTAATTTTTTTTAAATGAAATGAAAGGGAAAAAACCTTTCATAACCTGACCTCTTCCTACCTTTTGAGACTTTTTATACCCTCCACGGACTCTGTGATCCAGTGACACTGGCCGCCTTCTTATTCATCACACACTCCATCTACTAACTCCAAGCATTTTCCCTGGCTATCCCCCACGCTTGGAATTCTTCATGTTCATCTCTGCTTCCTCATTATCTTCAAGTCTCAGCTAAAGTCCTATCTTCTGCAAGAAGACTTAACCATCAAAGAACTGGAAATTGAAGAGATGCCCATCAGTTGGGGAAAGGCTGAACAAGTTGTAGTGTATGAATGTGATGGAATATTATTGTGCTATAAGAAATGATGAACAAGTAGACTTCAGAAAAAGATGGAAAGACTGGTATGGTCTGATGCTGAGTGAAGTAAGTAGAACCAGGAGAACACTGTGCAGAAACAGAATATGCCTACTGAGGTTAAATGACTTGTCCAAGGTCATACAGGCAGGAAACTTCAAAAGGAGAATTTGAACTCAGGTCTCCTGATTTGACACCAGTGCCTAATCCACCACATCTCTATGATACAGTTTATGTCACTTGTCCTGATTGTCATTAGTAATATATGAAAGCCTGCTCATACACCATGCGACTTTCCACTGTCTGTGGGTGATGAGCAATTTTCAATTTTTAGCAACTCAGGAAGATACATAATTGTCCAGAAAATATGTGTGTGTGTGTTGTGTGAGTGTGTGTGTGTGTGTATCCCTTTGTTTCAGGGAGAAAATTGGGGTCATTAAGAGCATTCTTTAATTTTCCAAAGATATTCCAGCCCACTCCTCCCCTGCTGTTCAATTCTAGGCCCAGTTCATTGTTCACCTACAGAATCTAAGATATACATACTAATAAACCAGCTCCACATGATGAGGCAAAGCAAGAAAGTGGACAGACCACTGGCCCCAGGGTCAGCTACATAGTTTGGCTTTTTCCCTCTTAGTTTCCTTCTTTTTGTAAGTATAACTGGAATCAATTATTTTCCTTGTTTTTATGAGAATTTCATCTTCCACCAAATCCCACCTCTGACACTACCTGTCTCATCTTGGACAAGTCCCTTAATGTTCTTAGACCTCCATTTCTTCAGCTGTAAATTGAAGAAATTGAACTGATGACATCTGATTTTGGACAGATTCCTGGGAAACAAATGCTGGACAAAATCCAGCCAGAGGCCAATGGCCAAACCTATGGAAACTTGCCTGATGAAAGCAACTCCGCAAAGAGCCCAGGCGGAGAAAAGAAAGACATCTGAATGCCAAGAGGAATGTTTGTTGGCCTGTTATTGAATACCACCTTTAAAGCAAACTGCACATGTCCTATCTGTGGCAAAAGTTATTTTATGGTGACATTTGTTCACATTGTCTCAGTGTTTCCTGCCTCCTCTCCTTTTGGGACAATCATGTGCCTGCTCAGCTTTGAGAAACTAATGCTTTCTGAAAACCGAAAAGTCTAGAAATGTAATCCAAAATTATTTTAATGTTCCAGACCTCTGACTAGTCATCATTTATTTGATGACATCTCCGGTGCCTCCAAGTTCTAGATTTAAAATCCTGTGATCTAAATACACACCATAGTCTCAAGAAGAAGCATTCATCATCTATTTTATTTTTCCTATTTAGCTAGGTCAAACTCTTTTCCATGATTAAAGGAGATGGTACAGTGTTCCCAAGCTTGATGCAGTAATTATGTCAGCCTTCATACCCAGACTTAACCACAAATTCTGTTGATTTAATTGTTCTATAGTACCAACTCCAGAATTCTTTGTTCTCCTAAACTGTGAATACTGCTCTCTGAGTCACATTAACTATCTGATTTCACTCCTGCTCCAGAGCTGCTTATCATTGCTCGTGAAAGTTACAAAATCAAACTGATTTTCCCTGGTACAGCTTCATAGTACATAAGCTCCACTGAACCCTTTAGGCATTCAGTAGTCCTTCTAGTCAATCCTCATGGCCTCACCTCTTTACAGCTACTGCTTCAAACTTGTTCTTCTCTTCTCAACATTGGCCATATCCATGACTCTATACTTATAGTGGATGACTCGGTCTCCTACTTTATCACAGAGAAGATTGAGATCATCCAATGAATGTCTGGTCTCCTCCATCACTACAAACTTCTTAGAATCGTTACCCTCTCAGAACCATAGGATAACCTAGAATTGTCCTAGAATCAAAGATTTACAGCTGAAAGGGACCACGGAGACCATCTATCTGAATACATATCTATACATATCCTTGTACAACATAGTCAAAAATGGATTGTCCATGTTTTGCCTGAAAAAACTTCATACCAGTTTTGAAGAATCTACTTGCTAGAAAAATGTGTCATTATATACAATATCTAAACATGCCTCTGTGTAATTTTGACCCATTGTTCCTAAATCTGTGCTCTGGAGCAAAGCACAGCAAAGCTAATTCTCCTCACAAGTAGCAGACCTTGAAATATTCTGAGACACTTTTCAGCTACCCCCTTGTCTTCTCTTCTGTCAGCTAAGTCTCCCCATTCCTTTGACTGATCCTTCTTCTTCTGGGTCACAAAAGACATCACTACTACTCACAAAGGCTGATCCTTCTATCTATACTCTTTAATTCATCCCCTCCTGCTTCTGCCAACACTGTTCTCTAAACTCATCCTAAGCTTAAATTTACTCATATAAAAAAAAGGGAATAGTAACAGCCATAGGTTCTACCTCATAGGGCTATTGTGAGGATAAAATGAGATATGTATGAAGCACTTTGCATTTTACCTGAACCCTGAAATATAGAAGAGGTAAATGGAATGCAATCACCCCCAACTCATCAAAAGGTAAGGCCCCTTCCAGTTCACGATCTTGTAAATATAAAAATGGATACCTCTCTGCGAGGACAAATTAGAGAAATCTCACAGCTTCTGAGTGGAAAGCCCCTTTGCTGCCAATTGGGTGATTTCTCATTGTTTAGCTCTATAATGTTAAACAACCCCATAATCTACACTTACATTTTGAAAGACAAGATACATGAATAAAGAGAAGGACAACAGAAAGGTTAGTTCTGGGAAAGACAGTAGTACTGCTGTTTATTCTGTATGAGTGTCTACTCCCAATGATTGGTACCAACCTCTGAGGCAAAAAGTCAAAAGGAAACGACACTTTAAAAAGGACAAGATATGGGTGATTTCATAATTTACTGTCTGATGTTCTAAATTGTTGGAATATTGCTATTGTTCTGAAAAAAACTGCAGATTTTCTCCAAAATCTATAAGTAAGCCACTCAGTATGACAGCCTGTTTCTCACCCAAAATTTTACCTTCTCAATCATTGTTATAGTCCTGATCTGTCAGAAACCTCTGACTCTCTATTATGACAAGAAACAAATTGCCTGCAAATTCCAGGAAAAGTGAGAGTTAGACCAATTGTCATAAAGCTCAGAATATCAGGCATGTGTGTAAATTGGAAACTAAACACTTAGGCTTCTGGGAAAGGAAGCCATTAGCATTAGAATTAAACCAGACACTCATAAGAAATCAACTGCTATTAACTTTAATTAGCTAATATTTGCCTCCTCAATGAAAAGTAAAGAAAGATATGATACAATAGCAGGGAAAGGAGAAAAAGATAGGAAGGAGAAAAACTGAGAAGGAATCAGAAAGTGGCAAGTAGGTATTAATTACAGTGCTATAATTGGTCATTTGCATCTTTGAAATCTGAGAGGGAATAGTTGTTTTTTTTCAATCCATTTTGTTTTGACCAATGTCAATGCTATTTTTAAATGTCTATATCCCACATAGAACCATGTGATAGGTTAGTGCGTTTCTGATGGAAAATATCATATTTTTTCTGTTCTACCTTTGCTGTTATTTTTTGTACAATGTCTTTAAAATTAAATAGATTTGCTTCATTTTATCTCTTTGCATGATTTTCTTTACATCCTCTTTTTCACTCTCTGATGATGAGAAATCTGGAGAGCATGATGACGATGAAAAATGGAGGAAAAATGATTGGATAAACCAGACATGTAAATCAGAAAGCATTTAAGAGATACCACATTCTGATGTTCAGAGTCTTCTCTTGACCATATTCTTTTTCTGAGTGTTATTTGTGGAAAACATCAGATAGGGTCTTAAGCGTAATAACAAGTTATCTCCACCCATTTTCTTTAAAGCTTCTCTTTTTTTGAAAGCCATAACCCCATTTGTTTACAAACCCAGGATGCACCTATGAGAGGATGATACAACGTTTTGCCCTAATGCACATGATTGGCAACATTTGTTCCATTAAAATTCTACTCCACCACCTCATTATTATGTGGAGGTATCCTAAACATCTTCAATGTTATGTCAGAGAAACCTAAGTCCCAGCAAGCTTTGACAAGCTGGAAAGTCTTTGATTATGGGCCTGGTGATTGGCAGCATGCTTGTCGTTCAAGAATCAGTCAAGCTGTGTTTAGAGATTAACTGGAAATCAATGGATTTTTCAGCAATAGGAAAGACCTGCTACTAAATGATTGAAGAATTACAATCAACACTGATGAAGTGAGTACCCACTCCAATGAAATTACAGATCCCTGTAGGGTGCAACATTTATTAAGTATTTACTCTGAATAATACCTGACCTAAATTCAACTAACCAGGGGAAAAAAACAACATTCTCATATTCTTCTAACTCCTTGAAGAAGCTCCCTGAGAGTAAGAATTATTTTATTTTTCAGCTTTGTATCTCCAGCCTAACATGGCGCCTTGAACACATTGGGCCCTCAAATATTTATCGTAACACTGGCTCTAATTTATATTATCTACCAGACTCCTCTCTCAGAGATTAGAGAACCAGGATGGTTTTCTTGGAAAATTAACCATAAGGAAGGCTGGCCTTGAAAGAAATATGATTCATTTTAAGAGGGTTCATTTCATTCTAAAATGGACAGAGGAGTTTAATGTTCTATCCTGCTACCATGGATATAGGAAGAGTAGTCAGAGAAGAAAGTAGAAAAATGAAGCAGTTTTCAAAAAATCAAAATGCTTGACAATAAAATTACCCTGAATGATTAATTGTACTCTCATCTACAGATTTATGTAGCAGGATGGCTGGGACTAGATGACCCTGAATTCCCTTCCAACTGACATTCTTTAAGTCTGATCTTCATATTTTAATTTTTAACTGTTGAAGACTATAATATTGGACAAAAGTCTTTAAAATGCCACAGACAACATTTAGCTCATGATCAGTAGAGAAAGTAAATTAGTTCCACAAAGAAAAAAAGGTACTCATTCCTTATGCTATTTTGTCTCTCTGTGTCATATATATATATATATATATATATATATATATATATATATGTATATGTATATATATATATATATATGCACATATATAATGTATATTTATATACAATTGTACATATAAAATATGCAGATAAATACATATATGTGTTGCATGTATGCATGCACGTATGTATATGTGTATGTGATGTCTCAAAAGTTTTAGTGCACTTTTAAGCATTAAACTGCCCTGAAACTTTTTGGACACTCAGTTTATATGTGTGCATGCATGTATGTGTGTTTCTGTACATTTATATGTTGGCAAACATATATCATTTTCTTAAAATCAAAGAATCTCAGTGTTGGAAGACAACTTGGAGGTCATGCAGTTAAATCCACCCTGGTATATAGCCTGTAGAAGAGCACACAGAATAATTTTATTGGCAGCTACTTGCCAATCAGTCATGGAGTCAGTCCCATGAGTGGCCCTTGTACTTTCAGCTTTGGAGAAATGGGGAGACCCAACTTCAAAAAAATTAATTTAAGAAAGTGTGAACTCAATCCTGATAAGAAAAAAGAAGGCATATTTTTAGAACAAGTTGTTTTTTGGTCTAAGATATGTTCATAAACATATAAGACATTAATAAACAAAAACCTATTTTTAATGCTGATATTTTAATGATTCTATTTGACTATAAATCATGAGGCACCACAATCCCCAAGGAATTATAGTTGCAGGTCACCCAAGGAGCAAAGGAAAGACATGGAGTCACCATGAATAGACTGAAGCTTATTACCAGCAATGTCTTACACACAAGGAATACATGGCATAAAAAATACCATCCAAGAAGTGCATTCCAAGAAAAGAAGTAGCAGGAGTAGGAGGAATAATAGATAGTGAACTGGTGTATAGTTCCGGGAGATGTTAATACACCTAAAAGAAGGCACATTGAGTGCCTTGAGTTCTCCCTGTTGAAGAGAGGATATGAATGAGTTTCCCAGGGTAAGAATATGGATCATTTATACCATTTGAGGCAGAGCTTACATTGGTCACATCTCAGATCCATTGAAGGCTGTTTTGATGGTTATAGATTTCAAAATCTTTCATGGCCACAAGGCAGCTTCTGGACCACAACTCCCAGAAGAAACTTAATGAGGACCCTCCAACCCTCTCCCTATTAATCTGAAAATAATTGCTTTCAGTACTCATGAAGTTATAGTAAGCTAGTATTGTCTCATTAATTCTCTCTTTTCTATATTGTTAATGTATGTTTAAAGGGATACAATTTTTCTCCTGAAGACTACTTTAGCTATATTACAGAAATGATATGATGCTATTTTCTCATTATCATTTTTCATACACTTATCAGTTTTTACTATGATTTGTCTTTTGACATTCATTATTTAGGATTTAATCACAAAGTCTCCTTTTGGATTCTGTGTCTTTTGTTTACGCTTCTGTACTGGTTATGATTTTTATTGTGTTGTGATCTACAAGGGATGCATTTCTGATTTTTACATTTGTTTGCAATATCTCTGCACCTACTACACAGGTAATTTTTGCAAATGTTCTACATGGTGCTGAGAAATATGCATATTCTTTAGCAGTCCTATTTGGAAGAAGGCATCAGGTTTTTTTTGCTCTAATTTCCCTAGCAATTTGTTCAGTTTTATATTTTCCCCTCTTCATCTTTTTTGTTAGACTTATACAAAATGTAGAGAAAAACATTGAGATTTCCTGCCAATATTGTGTTACTGTCTCTATCTTCTTATGGTATAGTTATTTTTTTTCCTTATGAATTTAGATGTAAAGATTTTGGAGTATATGAGTTTAATATAGATATCGGATTGTTGTCTATAATTCCTTTCAACATAATGTAGTTTCTTTTTTCTTCCCTTTTTGTGTTACGTATGTTTGTTTTCATTTTGTCTAATATCATGACTACAGCTCCTACCTTTGCTTTTGGGGATTCAACTGATGCATAATTTTTTAAAAAAATTCCAGCCCCTCATTTGCTATTCTGTGTATATCTTTTTTTTTTTTTTGGTGAGGCAATTGGGGTTAATTGACTTGCCCAGAGTCACACAGCTAGTAAGTGTTATGTGTTTGGGGCCAGATTTGAACTCAGGTCCTCCTGACTCCAGGGTCAGTGCTCTATCCACCATGCCACTTAGCTGCCTCACATCTTTCTTTTTTTAAGTGTATTTCTTGTAAGCAACAGTGTGCAAAGTTTTGTTTTCTTATCCAATACATCACTCTTTTTAGTTTTATTGGATTGTTTAATACATTTACATTTAAAGTTATGAGAGTTAGGTTTATATTTTTCTCAATTGCTTCTAGTATTAGTTTTTTCCTCCAAATTAAACCTTTCTCTCTTCTTCTGTAACACTATGTAACTATGTATCTTCTTTTTCTTTCTCTCTTCCTCTGTAATTTTCTTCAATTATTTTAATGCAAACTATTTTAAAATAACTTTATGGCTAGTGTTGCCTCAGAAGTTAATAATAATTTAGGCTATCCTTTGCTATAGACAAAGGTAAAGGGATAATGCAAAAATACCTTCACATTCAGATGCTTCTGTACTATTCTCTTCATGTCGGGACTGTAAATGGTTGAATTTTGGCTTCCTCACTGAACTTGCTTGTGTTCCTTTTTCAGGCACTCCTGAACGGAAGCTTTGTGAGCGGGATACAGAGATCTCAAATTGTTTGATCATCTCCTCATCACTGTCAGAAGATGTGGACAGCTCTTCATCTTCTCCATAACTGTTAACTGGGAGAAAGGAAGGAAGGAAGGAAAAAAAACTTGTGAGAACCAATAGCTGAATATTCCAGACAATCCTGTATAAGTATGGAATCATTAATCCAATTTGGGATACTAGCAGAAGTTTTAAATATACAGATGCTGTATTTGAATCAAAGTAGTTCTAACTTTGGAAGCTTTGTCTCACACTACTCTTTTTCACAAACTCCAGACAAATCAAAGTTGGGATCAGAGGGGTTTCAATTTAGAACTATAAGAACACTTGGAGGCCATCTAAACCATCTCTTTTCATTTTACAGGTTAGGAAGGTGTTGCTAAGAGAGGTGGAGTTATTTTCCCAAGGCTTTACAGGCAGTAAGTGGCAAAGCCAGGATTTAAAACCAGATCTGATACAAAATCCAGTGTTCTTTTCTTACCTTTCCCTACTTTTCCATCTCCCTGAAGTTTGTTCACTCCTTTCTTTACATGCTGAGATTCTCTACCTCCCCATCTTTGTCTGTTAAAATCCTACCTATTCTTCAAGATCCAATTGAACTACAACCTCCTTCATGAAGCATTCTTAAATTTCTCATTTGTAAATTCTCTCTACCTCTCACTCCCATAGCACACTATACGCACCTCTGTTACGTAAACGGTTTATTTTACTGTGTATTAAACATATGTGCATATGTGTGCATGTATATACCATCACCACTCCTAGACAATACGTTTTCTTCAACAGCACAAAACACTTTGCACCTCACATATGCATCAATGTATTAAGAACTTGTGATCTAATTGGTAGAGAATCCCTCCACTAGAGAAGATCTTAGTTTGCTCTTCGTTTTGTCTTAGAGAGAGACTAAGCAGCTTGTCCATGGTCACATGAGCTGCAAATTTAAGAAGTAAGGTTTGAACCCAAGTCTTCCTGACCTCAGACCCAGTATGCCACATTGCCTTTCTTAAGCATAATAGATGTTGATAAATATTAGATGAATTTAATATTTTTGTATCTACCCACTGCTTTATTTTTAGCAAATAACAAATGTCAGCGGTTGTTGAATCAACTTGGCTGAATTACTTCTTTCCATGCATTTGTAAAAACATAAATTTAAGTTTAAAGTTTTTTGAACTCTTGCATTGAATCACAAATTTATGGACTGGTAGATAACTTGGAAAAGAAATACCTGAGTTCAAATTCATTCTCAGACACTTAGTACCCGTGTGATTCTAGGAAAGTCACTTAATTTCTGTTTACTTCAGTTTCCTCATCTGAAAAATGAGAATAATAATATTACCTACCTCATAGAAGAATGATTTATTCAATAATAGCTACACTGTGAAAACAAACCATTTTGAGAGACTTAAGAGCTCTGATCAATGTAATGACTAACTGTGATTCCAGAGGACTAATGATGAAGAATGATACCTATCTCCTAATAGAGGGGCAATTAACTCAGGTTGGAGAATGAAACATATCTTTTTTTGGATATAGCCAATTCATGAGTATGATTTGCTTGACTGTGAACATTTGGTACAAGGATTTTGTTTTGATTCTTTCCCCTGGAGAGAGGTAAGAAAAAAGAGAAAATTTATTTTTGTTCGTTTAAAAAAACAAATTTAATTTTTAAAGAAAAATAAATTGCACCTACTTTAGAAAATATATAAAATACAGAACTGGAAGGGGCTTCTGGAATCAATTCATACCTTTATTTTATAGAAGAAGAAACTGAGTTCTAAGGAGATTAAATGTCATCCCCAAGATTACACAAGTATGTAACAGCAATAGCAAACTCTTATATGCAGCACAGGAGTGGAGACTGAATACTTTATTTTCAGGAGGAGGAGGAAGAGGAGTAGTAGTAGTAATAGCTAACATTTATATAGTATTTATTATGTGCCAGGAAGGGGCTAAGCCCTTTTCAATTATTATCTCATTTGATCTTCACAATAACCCTAAGAGGTAGATGCTTCTTAGGCAGTTGAGGGAAAAGTGGTAAATAGAAGTTGTGACTTGCCCAGTATCCCATAAGTGTCTGAAGCTAGATTTGAATTTAGGCCTTCCTGCCTTTGGTCTGGGTGCTCAATCCACTGTGCTCACCTAGCTGCACCAAGTATAGTTAAAAATAATCAGTCCTCCTCAATTAGAGTATTCTCCTTCTCTGACCTGAACCTTTTGAATACTTATAAAAGTGCACCATTATGTGTACCACTGAGTTTTCTCTAACTACTCATCTTAACAGAGGAAGGCAACACCCCTAGCCTTTGAAAACCAGAATCTTCTTTCCTGGAACAGCTATCCAATAGTTTCTTTATTCTTAGAGGGCTAAAGAAGTCATCCCCTGCTTACCTGAATTAAATAATCACATCCTCCCTTCCAATACACATACCACTCCCCATAGTTGAATGAAAGAAATGATGAAATGTGGCTAGTTCAAAAAATAAAAATCAAAATCAAAGACTGCATATACACATAACATTGTGGCTTTACCACACTTTAGAAAATATGTATAAAATTGTCACTAATTAGAAGCTTTCATAAAGCCTCACTTCAAAGGTCTTGCTCTTTTTCCCTTCAGAAGTTTTCAGCTCAGTATTTAAGGACTACTCCACTTGCCAAAAAATCTATAATGATGTCCTCCTAAAAAAGAGTATTCTGTAATCTACAGTAATATATAAATGACTGCTAGCCCCTTCCCTTTGCTTTGTCAGGTTACTTGCTAATCCAAATGAATTTCTAATTAGTGGAATTTCAAGTCAACTATAAGGAAAAAAGTATCATGTGGTATATAGCAGAATGGCTGTGCCCGGATCAGATTAAAATGTTATTAGGAAATGTTTAATAAAACAAATATACAATATAATAGATATTGTTAATGGGGGAGGGGGGAGGTTTAAGTCAATATGTGTACAGTATTGAAAGTCATTATTGGAGTCCCAAAGACCTGGTTCAATCTCTGGCTCTGATACGTACTAGCATCTGACCTTGGACAAGTCACTTGACCTTTTGGTGTCTGAGGTAGCCCTCTACAACTATGGGGTAGTTGTTGACTGTGTGTCAACTATATGTCATAGGAAGGAGATTCTACATGACAGAATTTGTCAAATCTCTTATTGAAATCCAGGTACACTAATTCTATAGAATTCCTCTTATTTACCAACAAGTAATCCTGTCGTTAAATTTTAAATGATAAAAATGGTAATGATGATGACATGAATGGAATCAACATATCTGAATCTTAATACCCAACTGTCTTCTCTTTCTAGATCCTCACAAAGCATACCTCTAATAACAATTCTAGAATTTTTCTAGGAATCAAAGTCAAGTTCATCAGCCTATAGTCTTAATAATCCATCTTCTCCCTTTTTCCTCAAAATCAAGCCAATATTTGCTTGTTTCCAGCCTTAAGAATTTTCTTCAAGATTTTTCAAATATCAAAATTATGCCTGTTGTTAAATATTCCAGATATACTACATTACATTTTACTGATTACAACACTAAACTGCTCACAATGCTCAGTCTTCAAAGTCTCTAAGGCACATTAGATATTTGTCAGCTCAGGTATCATGAACGCTTAACGTCTTTAACTTAAAGATATTAAGGGAATATTATTCAACAAACTTGGAAACTATAAATAGCAACAAGATTGAAATATGGCTTCCTGGTAAGTCACTGTGATAACCATAGGTATTGCTGAGCATTTCCCTAGTCAAATACATATATTTTCTTTAGTACCAGCAATATACTAAGTGCCCACAGTCAGAGTTATAACGAGCAATTTTAATGCCCAGGGGAAACAACACAAAATGTGCTTGAGAAAAGCAGCACAAAACATACGCTCATATTACTTTTATAATTCATGAGGTAGCTAGGCAACTCAGCCAGTAATGCACTAGACATAGAATCAAGAAGGCTCAAGTTCAAATTCTGCCTCAGATATTTACTAGCTGTGTGACCCTGGGTAAATCATTTAAATTGTGCCTCTGTTTCCCTATCTATAAAATGGGGATAATAATAGCACCTACATCCTAAGGCTGTTACGAGGTTAAAAAGAGATATTTGTAAGGCATCTTCACATCTAAAAAATTACTATACAAATACAATAAATGCTAGTTAGTTTTAATGTGAAAATAATATTAGAAGCTATTAAGATAAATTTAGTTAAACAGTCAGAAAAGCATCAGACTCTACACTCTGTGAGAAAATTCGACACTAACCTCATTAGAGTAAGACAGAGAAACAGAAAACCATGAAGTCACTGCTAGAGAGACCATCGTGAGAGGAAGTACAGCAGGAATAGACAGGGAGTCACTCATCTGGGGCTTAGCCCCTGAGTCAGGGAAGGGCATAGTAGCTCCTAATCTTAATAAATTATTCTTATTAACTAGGTGAGAAGTTAAGGTGATAAGAAGTTCAAGGGCTACAAATCTAGGAATTTTTAAAATTCCAGTCTTCTAAAACCATCATCTTAAACTTGTGTACTCTCTAAGTTTCTGTGTCCTGGAACCAAGCTATAATTGCTCCCACCACCACTGTTCCCACCAGCACTGCCCATGGTGCTGAAGTATGGGCCAGCTCTCCACCATAGAAAACCACTTTCTTGATTTTTGAATTATTGAATGTTAGGGCCAGAAGGAAGCTCAAGTCCAATACCTTCACTTTGTAGATAAGCAGGGAAGGGAAAGCTGAGGGAAATTAAGTAATGTATTAAAAGTCATATCGAAAGTTAGTGGCAGACTTTGAATTCTAATTTTTTTTTGGCCATGGACCCTGTTGAAACTTATAAAGTCCTACTCAGAATAATGTTTTTAAATTAAATGTGTAAGATTCTGTTGGAAACCAGTTTTATTGAAACAGATTTGCCAAAATATTTTGAAAAATAAATCCTCATTTAAGAACTCCTGGACTAGAACTGAAGTCTATTGGTTTCCAGTCTACTACTCATTTTGGATTTGGAGTCAGCAGGCCTAGGCACAAAGCTTAGCTCTGTTTTTAGTTACTTATAAGATCTTGGGTAAATCATTTAACC